CAATAAGGAAACTTCAATCCAAAAAGAGATCACTCTGGCGGAAAAAACAAATCTGGTCACGTTGCCAATTTCAAAAGCCGATACAAAAATTTATGCCACCAGATAAAGACCGAATGCATCAATTATCACATTAAACAAGAGGAAAACCTTCTAAGCACCAATTCCACCCGTGCTTTTTACAATTTTGTAAACAACAAACTAAAAGACTCAAGGTCCATCCCACCCTTGATAGGACCTGATGGTAAAGACTGCAACGACGACACCATTAAAGCCAACATCTTTAACACATTCTTCGGCTCAGTATTTGTAAACAGCAATGGATCACGCCCAGTATTTCCTAGCCGTACCACAGATAACAACAATGATCTAATACATATCGATTTTACAGAAGACAATGTTGAAAAAGCACTACGCAATCTAAAACCATCTCTATCTATTGGACCAGATGGAATATGTGCCTACTTCTTAAAAAAGCTATCCACTGCCATAGCCAAACCTCTAAGCATAATCTTTGAAAAATCTTTCAGGACCAGCTCCTTGCCTAACCTATGGTCACAAGCCACAGTCATCCCCATCTTCAAAAAGGGAGACCCAAGCCTAGTTGAAAATTACAGACCAATCTCCTTATGCTGCGTCACCTGTAAAGTCATGGAATCAATTATTAACCAATCCATCATCCTCCATTTAGAGACAAACAACCTACTCTCCAATAAACAATTTGGTTTCAGAAAAAAACTATCCTGTAATCTGCAACTCTTACACTGCAAAAACATATGGACGACACAACTCGACCAGGGCAAAGCAATAGACGCAATCTACATAGACTTCTGTAAAGCCTTTGATTCAGTGGTACACGACAAACTACTCCTAAAAATAAAATCCTATGGTATCTCTGGACAACTGAATAACTGGATAGAAGCATTCCTGGCAAACAGACAACAAATGGTCAAAATGGGGAGCGTCCTATCAAATTCTGTACCTGTCAATAGTGGTGTCCCCCAAGGCAGTGTTCTAGGACCAACTCTCTTCATACTCTACATAAATGACCTCTGTGATCATATTAAGAGCAATTGCGTTCTTTTCGC